CACACACACACACACACACACACACACACACACACACACATATATATATATATATATATATATATAATTTTTAGCTAAATACTTTTACCCCACCAGTATTTGGAATATTTTGGTTAATTAGAAATATCCAGGACTAGTTATACTATACTATAAATTACATTTTATTAACACCAAAACCTGTTAAAAATATTGTTTTAACAAGCATAGGGTGTATCATTTCAAGATAATTAAACACAAAATGCTTTAATCTTTTAAAACCCAGTACTTTTAAGTCTGTATACTAGAAAATCACCTTGCCAAAACAATCACCTTACCAAAACATATATATAATCTTGGTAACATCAAAAGACTGTTATATCTACTGTCTAAACACGTATATCATGCATGATTTTAATAAAATACTGAAACAGAATATTTGTACTCTACCAGCTTCTATACATCCGTCGATGGCCTGTGTGTATTTCTCCAGCGCGTCCCCAAACTGTCCATTTTTGAACAACATATTGCCCTCATTTTTTAGCCTGGCTAGTGGAGGAGGAAGGGCCCCACACGGGGCGTCCAGATTACAGCTCTCCCCACCACTGAACGCAGTACTAGAGCCCTGAGGCTCATCCTGGCTCTTGTCGGCTGGAAGGGTGCCATTCACTGCTGTGTTCTTCCCCTGGACTTCCTTTGAGTTGGCTGTGTTGTTTCCATGGCTCCTCCTGCGCCCCGGGGTCCCAGGTTGAGAGTGCGGGCCCCCTCCCTCTCCATGACCGGGGGCCTTCTTCTGTGAATTCCCCATGGCTGCCCTCAGTCCCTACCAGAGTAAACCGAGCTCTCGTCCTCACGCAAACACTCATACACACTCCCTCTCTTCCTGTTCCCTGCGCAAACTGTACAGGCTAAGCCAGAAGTAGGAAGACACACCTCCTGCCGGGTGCACTGAGCTGTGACATCACCGAGGGGGAGGGGCTGCGCTGCTGCTGCAGAGTGGGGGTGGTGTCCTGTGAAACAGCAGCCAGGGGAGTTCAAAAGGCCCTGCTGGATTTCACTGTGCAGAAAATCAGCTGCAGAGACCTTCAGCCAACACCGCTTAGGATCTCTGTGCTCTCGAAGACTTGTGTTTATTTTATGGCTCCTGAATGTTCCTGTGATGCCATTTCCGTGCTTTATACCGTCATCCAAAAGCTAAATATAGCTCTTCGCTGTTCATTCTCACCGAAGCAGCAAACAAATAACTTACTCCCTTAGACTTCAAGGGAGTAAGTTGTTCCGAAACCGTATGAGTTTATTTCTTCTGTTGAACACAAAAAGAAGATATTTTAAAGAATGTTGTAGTCAGACAGTTGACGGTAGCCATTGACTTCCATAGTAGGAAAAAAAAAATACTATGGAAGTCAATGGTTATCATCAACTGTCTGGTTACAACATTCTTTAAAATATCTTCTTTTTGTGTTCAACAGAAGAAAGAAACTCATACCGTTTCGGAACAACTTGAGCGTCAGGAAGTAATGACAAAATACAAATTTTTGGGTGAACTATCACTTTCATTTGAATACTTTTGATGCAAGATAGAGACCAATTTCACAAACTATCACATAGGAGAGAGCAGAAATGCGAGTACAAACACATACATATCTATAAACATGGTGTGTTATTGTTTCCTCTTCTGTGCTTGACTTAAAAATGAAAGTTTTTGTTTTATTCATTCATATTTGTATCTTCTTGAATTTCTTTACTGTCCCTTAGTTACACCCCTGTAGGCACTTTTAACTTTGTCTTTGTGTAGACCTGCTAGAACATGTCGTTTTCAAATACAAGAGTTATTCTGTTCAGCCATTAAAATTATCACAGTAGTTTTTTTTAATTTGCCAAACACAGAAAAAAAATTTGCTATAGAAACAATTTTCACTCAAAAACTGCTAGTAAGAAGTTACAAAGAAACAGCAAGTAACACATTGAATTTAACATGAAATTCTGAAGTAGAAAGACTGAAATAGTTTTTTTTTTGTAAAACTCCAATAATCAGGGTTTTTTTATTGAAATGGACAGATTTTGTGAGATTAACCTACCTACCTATTATGCAATGTCTATTATTTGTATTGTTGTTGTGGTTTGATTTATTGCTACAGTGTTTACATTGGATAGATGAGTTTTGTAATATTGTAGTGAATGTTAGTTGCTAGTAAAACTTACTGTAGTAAATGTTTCCCAGACAGATCAAGAACATGCAAATAAAAATCTTGGATTTCAAAACATTTAACTGTCCAAATGTTAGCCATTTTAATCATCTGAATTAATCTGTACGGGTGGTCGATTGTTTTTGCATCCACTGAAGCACAAGCTACTCTTTTCTGAAATCACGCTGGATCACATGATCATCACGTTTCACACAAACTTGTTGAATCTACTAAAATGAATACTACAATGACACCAAATACTACTACATTCTTTAATTCATATTTACTTTACAATCCAATAAAGGTGCAATAACATTTATCGTTCTTGGCAAAATCCAGTAATTTCAGTAGGATTCCATGTGATCAGGAATTTCACAAAAGGGCAAAAGATTTCCCCACACAGATTTCGCTTCCGGATCAAGTTGGTCGCACAAATTTGCCAATGTTAACTAAAACAAAACTACTTGATTTGAAAGTGACTTCTGTGTGAGCTCTGTGCTTCATATAATTTCTATACTATTGGCAACTTTATTACTATTGGCTCAGGATATTTCACGAATGTAACCACACCTTAATGATGGCTCATAATATTTCTATTTGTAATGAAAAAACCCTTAATCCATTCTAAATCTTACAAGAACAACTCACTACACATGATTTGATCAGTGGTTTCACCCCAAAAAAAACAATTTCTACCTCAAAAATGTAAATAAAAACACTTGAATTTTGTAAATTGTTTTTTACTCAATTTTGATTACTGCGTATTCAAATTGTATACATGTATTTACATAATCAAAGATTTTTAAAAAAGCTAATTATAATAGGAAAAACAGCAGGATTCATCTCATCGGGCATCGAATACGACCACTGGAAACAGGAGTCAAGGGTAAATATAAAGAACATCGGGCATAAACCAAGAACGCACACACAAAAAAAAAAATATATAATATATTGTCTTAGGCTATGTTTACACGGAAACGATCTGAAGAGAAAACGCAAAAGTGGCGTTGCGTTATCACTTTTTATTCTGCGTTTAGACGAGCGTTATGGTTGGGAAATCCGCATATATGCATATGGTGACGCAAAAGTGTGTGAAATTCGATGTAGTATGCACTCCAGGCGGCTAGGTGGCAATGTGAAGCACTGCCACACAACAACACCAATATCTTAGAATATTTTGTACAACTGCTGAAAAGACTCTTGTATGTTTTTCAGAGCTGCTAAGGCAACTTGAAGGTCCGACGTATGGAAATAATCTGACATGTTGGTTGTTATTTTCCTGTACTGGCGCATGCATGTGACGTAAACGCGTACGCGACGAGAGCCACCTTGAGCAGATTTGCATTTTTACCGTCTAGACGGGAACGCGACGGTGGAGCGTTTTTAAGATTTCCACTCTGGAGGGTGGTTTCACTTTTTTGCGTTTTTAAGCCCCCAAAACACCGTTGCTGTGTAAACGAAAGGCACATCCGATAAAATATTTTTACGTTTTCACCCGGAATCGTTCTCGTGTAAACGGGGCCTATAATGGCATGCATATCAGATTCACAGAACCATGCCAAGAGCTAAATTTTTTAATGATCAGCCCCCATATTATTAGCAATTGCCAGTTGTTTTGTGATCAAAGGATTGAATATTAGTGAACTAATCAGTGAATAATTCAATTTGTCTGTTTTTCACACAAGTTATTATAATTTCCATTCCAACTACTGAGAAAATAGCAATTTTGGCATTCTTTATATATTTGGTGAACAATCATTATAGATAAGAAGAGCAGACGAAAAACATTTCAAAATTCTCTCGTTTTTCTATGGGGAAAAAAATATTTAACCACATATGATGTGTGGAACAACTATGACGATTATGTTTTGGAACAACACGAGGGTAAGTGAGTGACATTTTTGGGTGAACAATTATTTCAAACACTAAGCATTTAGTTAGTTTAAAGGATACATCTTTTGGTCCTTTTCTTGTACATGATTCTGTAACCACATTCTCTGCATCTGATGGGGTCTCTAGCTTTGATCTCATTTTCTGTGTGACACTCTGAAACACAAGAGCAAAAATACACAACTGCTCAGAGACATTGTATGATGAGAATTGTGTTTGGATAGTTATGCAAGACATGATTGTATATATAAAATGACTAAATACACAACACATGACAGACATAACTTAATGCAGAAAGAGTGTTATTACCTCCACAAATATAGATCATTGGCTGCTGTTTGGGAGGTTGAATATCCTTCGGAGGATCCATTGCCTGAAACACAGATACACAACTAACGTTACTTCTTACATATTTTATGTTCTATTAAATGTAATTATATGAATCATTTATTAGATATCAATTATTATTAATTAGTTTCCTATATTACGTATATATAAATTATATGACCTATAGTTTACCAAAAAACATTTAAGAGATTTATTCTATTCAGTGCTGATGGACTGTCTAATGTGTGTATGGACACGTGCTGCTATCACACACAAAGCTAGATGTATTCTTCATATGAATATAAAAACATCACTGTTCATTTCATTTATCAGAATTTACAACTATTTAAAGTACACATTAAAAGCATTACCTTTCACGCGTGAAGTCTCAGTTCGCTACAAAACGCTGTAGACGCTCACGCATGCGCATTACGTACAGAACGACATCAAAGTAACACACGCTGCTATTGGTTGAAGCGGATGATTGACAAAATTGAACGCCTGAGCTGGGTTCGTCATACACTAGTGGGAGGAGCTTATAATTATACGCAGTAGGGAACTTTTATTTTATACCCGATGTCACGGCGAAAAACTCGGCGACGTCATAAAAAAAAAAATCGGCAACCGTATGTATTTTGTGTAGATATTGATGAAGTATTTTTAACTTGATTAATTATTAGAAAATTTGACTGTTAAGAATATGTCTATATCACTGTCATCAAATGTCCTTTTTTTGACAATAGTCCGATAAACATTTATTTACAAATATAAATTTATTTTTATTATTATTATTATATATTTTTTGTATTTGTATCTCTAAAGTGTTTTTATCAAAGTGTCACTTGTTGTGTCAGTGTTGTCTCAAAGCAGGAAGTAACGTTAGTGAGTCGGAGCAGTTGGCCTGTGAATGTGCAGTTTTCATGTGAGTCTACTCAATTTAACTGTCAATATATATTATTCAGTGTTGTTATTATGTACGTATGGTCAAACATTTTCGTGCACACTTTATATTCATATTGTATTATTCTCTGAGAGTTACCGTATGTCGTGATCCAGCGTCAGCCTTTCAGTTTCTCTTTCTCGGCATTGGGCTTAAACGACATAAGATTTCCATTATCCAATTTCCATAACATCCGATTACCAACCAACTGTTTATAATAATCTAATGTTAACTATTGATATCTATCTATCTATCTATCTATCTATCTATCTATCTATCTATCTATCTATCTATCTATCTATCTATCTATCTATCTATCTATCTATCTATCTATCTTATGTAAACACACTGTAGCAATAAATAAAACACAAAACAATACAAATAATAGATATTACACAATAGGTAGGGAGGTTAATCTAACAAAATCTGCCCATTTCACTAAAAAAATAAAGAAATATAACCCAACCACAACAACCTTTCACCTTGTAATTATTTTATTTTATTTCAATAACCTCACATAAGGTTTTGCTGGTAACTGTGGCAGGAATGTCAGTTATCCTCAACCTGCTCAACTTCATACTTCATGTGTGTTTCTTGTTTTGTTAGGATGGCTGATAGCCTGGAGGAGCGGAGTTTGGATGTTCTTGATATTCCTGATGATTTGGAGGATGACCTTCTCATTCTCTACTTTGAGAACAAGCGGCGCTCTGGAGGAGGGAACGTGGACTTTTTGGAGAGACGTGGAAACCAAGCGTTGGTGGTTTTTGAAGATGCTGAGAGTAAGACATCATCACCATACTGTTTTAGATATCGAGTTTCCTCAGTATGGATTCTATAAAATTAAAGTATTACAGGCATATATAAGTAAAACATATTAAGAACTTGTTTCTCTTACACCAGCTGCTGTGAGAGTTCTCTCCAAGTCCCATGTCCTCCTCAATACCACACTGACACTGCGAAGGAAACCACCAAAAGACCCTGGAAAACTGTTGCTAAGAGGGCTCAATCCACACACTTCCCTGGACCATGTGGAACTTTTTATGGAAAACATTACTAGAATGGCCTTTGAAACAGACTTCACCTTGTATCCATCTCCAAACAAGGACCTGGTTCTAGTACACCTAAAAAGACCTTTGCCTAAAGGTTTGTTACTGTTCAGCTTTACATTGTACAGTATATAGGCACACTTTAGCCACACTTAAAATGTGTCTTTATGTTAGATAATAAAATATTAAACCAATTGGACAGAAATATGAAAGAAAGAAAGAAATATAACACAAGCTACTTTTCAAGCAAAACATTTATTTTCTATGGTTTTAAAAGATAAAGTATCAATCTAATTGTCTCAAATTAAATTTAAAAAGAAAAGAAATTAATGATTCAGTAAGGATGTATTAAATTAATCAAAAGTGACAGTAAAGACATTGGCAGTACTTTATTTTACGGTCCTGTTTTGCATGTACATACTATGTGCTTATTGTAGTAATGACTAACTGAGTAATAGCTAGTTACTAACCCTACTTAGCCCTAATCCTAACCTTAACCCATGTAGTTACCTTACATTACTCAGTACTTTCGTGGGTAAGTACACTGTAAATGCATTGAAAGTGCATGTACTGTAAAATAAAGTGCAACCAAAACATTTGAAGCAAATCAGCATATTTTAACGATTTCTCAAGGATCATGTGACACAACTAGAACCATTTCAAATAAATTCACCAATGAATGTATAATAATAATTACGTATAATAATAATCTATCTTAAATATTTTGTCATTGTGTACGTGATTCCATAGATTTTCAGATGCTTAGTGACGAAGTTTCCAAGAAGAGTCTAAATGGAGCAAAGGTCACTCTGGAACAGGTAGAATCTACAGACTCGGTTTTGGTGGCCAATCTGTCTCCTGCCCACACAGAGGATGTGCTGGAGCTCTACTTTGAGAGTAGTCGTGGTGGAGGGGCAGATGTTCTCAGAGTTAGCATGCTGGCTAACGGATGTGCTAAAGTTTCTTTCAAGGATGTGAAATGTAAGCCAAGATGTTTTTCTTTAAACACTTTTATTGAAGTCTCTATTTTACAGTTCTGAATCTCAATTGAGCATTGTCTTTTACAGCTGTGGACTGCATTCTCCAAAAATCCCATAATTTGGAAGGTACCGATTTAGTAGTCAAGCCGTACTTTGACTTCCTGCATGCTTTGGTGGATCAGTCATCTGTGAGCGCTCAAGACGGGCCGGAAACATTAACGGAAGAGATAAACCAAATTGACACGGTCTCATCCCAAAGTCCTACTGTTTCTGACCCTGTGGCGAGCACCACCTCAGGACACGGCGCTGCTCTAACGGACAACACCACAAGTATAGCGAACACAACTACTGCATCTGCTACTGAGCCATCTATCCAGAAGGAATGTGTTAGCTTTATATCTGTGCCTGATGCCACTAAACATCAGCTGCTCAGTTTGAGTAATTTGCCTGAGAACCTCACAAAGGCTCATCCGAAATTTGATGTCAGTCTAGCAAAAGATGGCGTCCAAATCAAAGGTCCTGACCAAATTGAGGTTGAAAGACTTAAGAACAAAGTTCTGGAATTCTTGACTGGTGTTGCGCAGGAGCACCTTACATATGACAAACTCAAAGTTGAGTTTCTTAAGAGGGAGGATGTTAAAAAGAGGTTAAATTTGACTTTAAAAGATATACCATCAACCTTCAGTGTGTCAGACTATATGGTCACTGTAACGTCTTCATCCCGTAGCGCAGTCAAGCAGGCCCAAGACCTGATACAGTCCCAGATAGCAGAGTTTACTGTGCCGATGGCCAAAGAATACGAGAGTGTGGTCTTCTCAGAGGAGTGGTCAGACTTTCTGGTGGCGCTGGACTTCTGCTGTGCCAAAGTATCCGACACTGGTGGAATGATTACTGTGGTTACCCTGACAGGGATGGAAAAGGACAAAAAAGACAAGATCGTTGAGTTTCTCAGCACACCACACCAGAAGGAGACAGTCCTGTCTATGGAACCAGGAATGCTCAAATTTCTGCAACTCCATCATCGAGATCTACTGGCAGACATGGGAGAGGTCATCTTATTCCCACTGGAGACTGGAGATGGATTGAGTGTTAGTTGCCAAGTTTGCATTCATTTGACTTATTTAATTGACATTTGCAGTACTAGTGGTGGGTTTGGGGTCAGTAAAATTATAATTTTTCTTTTAAATAAATGAATACTTTTATTCAGCAAGGGTGCATTAAATTGATAAAAAATGACTGTAAAATAATAAAATTAAATTATGCAATATGTAATTAAAGTATAGTAATTATATATATATATATATATAATTACATTTTGTTCAACTCAAATATATTTAATATGATTGTTTTACTCATAATTCCTTCCTATGTGTATTTACTTCTATTATAGTGTATTATAATTTGTACATACACAATCAATCCCACTATGAATTGTGCGATCATTGTCTTTAAATGTGTTCTATAACGCTTACAGATGCATCTTGTAATCTCTTTATCTCACTGGCAGATCCAGGGAGATTCGACTGTGTGTCAATCGGCGACGGAATTATTAAGTGCTATTATTGGCTCAATCTATACAAAGAACATTGTGGTCAAGCAGCCTGGCATTTCCCGATTCCTGCTGGAGGAGGAGGAGGGTGTCAGCATACTGGCAGAGATGACAGCCAAATTCGAAGTCTACATAGACATGGCGAAAGTGCGCTGGGAGCCTCTAGAAGACAATGTAATGTATCCAGCCTCATTCTTTATCTGTATCTATCTCAAATACTCAATAGTACTTTGTAGTCGATTGTGGTTGTGTTTTCCACAGGACATATTGGAGCTGGCATTTAAAATGACACACTGTCAAAACTTCCAGAGAAGTTCCAGTGCAAATTTCATTCAGGAATCCAATGTTGGAGTACCGAATGGGTGCAACTCTAATGATGCATGTACTTCAGGTCATTATGGATCATTGATTTTTTACCAGTGTTTGAATTAGGAGGGGACCGAGATCCTCTTGTTTCAGTTCTTTTCTTTATGAAATAAAATACAATGGTAATCTGTTGAACCCAATGGTTACTAAAGATTTTCTGTCTTTCAGCTCGTATTGAAGAAGCTAAGAAGATGTTGGCAGTTATTGGCAGCGATTTAAACCCCCAACCTTCTAGTTTAGGATCCATTGACATAGAATCTCAAGATCTGTATTCAGACCAGAGCCAAGATACCTCAGCAGTGGCAGAAGATGAGGCTGACTCACCCCGTTCACTGCAGACCCTTGACCTCCAGAGCTCCTCTACACCCATGAACGCCTGCAGTCTCGACGAAGACGCAAGCCTCTTATTGGCGATTCAGCTATCAATGGAGATCAACCAGAGCACGGAAACAGAGGACATCCAGACGGCTCTAGAACTTTCCAAGAGAGACTCCATGCCAACCGAGGAGAACATACAGCTGGAGAGAGCATTTGAAATGTCATTGCAAGACGCCATCAAGTCATCCAATACAGCCGAGATCTTCGTATATGCTAACTACAACCATGATCTTGTAAGGGTGGACATCGCATTGGGCAAGAAGGTTGGAATGAGACAGTGTGAGGAGAAGATCGAGAACAAAAACTTGAGGAAACTCTCCTCCCATCAGAAGAAATGCATAGAGCTCATTAAGAGGAAGCATGCCGTGGAAATCAGCATCCAGGGCACCACCGCCATCCTCTCTGGCTTTAAAGATTACGTCTCTGAGGCCCTGATTGACCTAAAGAATGTCCTGAGACGGACAGAGAACATGATGAACGATGCTGAAATCGTAAAGGCCGTGCAGTGGGTGTGGTACGAGCAGGGGTCATCTAAGGCGATACCGTACCCACCAGATGCCACTGTGTTCATTGAGAATGCTTGGAGAATAAAGCAGAAGAAGATTGATATTTTGTTCAACAATCAGCCATACAGCATTGACTTTGAGAAGATGGAAGAGCATAGTTTGGCATCCGGAAAATCTGTGCCTATTAAACGGAAAATGCTAAGCACGGAGGACTTGTACACGGATGCTACTGGTATTGTATAAATCTGTCTGTCTACAAATTGTATAAACACTATGAAATCCCCAAAAAGGAGAATACTTTATGTGGAAGGGTGAAGTCCAGGTCAATGGTTTATCCACCATTTTTGCTGTTGATGGCTCATTTTCATTTAGTGTGAACGAAATGTGAAAAGTAAAAATTGCAGATCAACAGTAAATGTGACTGCATCACAGGCAACTGTTAGGAACATGATTATTTGTGTGTGATTTTTGTAATTAATCACCTAAATGAATGTTAAATTGATATTATTTAGTTAATGATGTTTATTTTTTAGATGAAGATTACAGCCTGCTGTCCAACATGCCTGAAGTGTCTACCGTGGATGTAGATTCTGATGAATTTCAAGAGGTGGTCAAAGACTTCTATGACACCCTTCAGGACAACCACAACAAAATCAAAATCATTAAGGTACGATTCAACATAGCAGGGGCGTAGCCATCATTTCAAAAGTGAGGGGGACAGAATGTCAAGTGTAATACCATTTTTTTCAGACTTTTGTTGACAGGTTAAGTGGCTTAATATGCTATTTATTTTTAAAGCAATAAAACAGAAAGAAAGAAATGTAGATGTTCAGTACTTTATATTGCAGGGTTTTTCCTGGCTTAAAACGAGGCGGAGGTGGTAAAATCCTGATCATGTATTTCAATTAGATAATAACATTTTTATTTTTCGTAGACCATCATATAGCCTACTGTGTTTCCCACAGTATTTTTGTAGGTGAATCTCGGTAGCCTACTTCTAGGGGGGTCAGGGGGCATGCATTTTTTTTAAATTACATTTTAAAAATAAATTAATTAATCTGGTGCACTTTGAGTCCCCCGAATCCACTGTTAAAAATAAATAATCCACCCGTAACCGCCCAAACATATGATATTCTCTGATTTAGATATCTGATCATCGCATTACAATTATTCAAATTGTCAGTGTTACTGTTAAGCATGATAATATGGTTAAATATCACACTGAAGTAGGCTGATTTAAAAATAACATTTACTTAAAATAAAAGTTCTTCTTTTGGCAAAATAACATTTCCTTAATAGCCTAAAGTCTGTCTTACTAAACTAAAACTTTCCAATTGAAAACCTTCAAACGTCAAGCTTTTAAAAATACTTCAAACTTTCTAGTTAGGCTTTTTCAAGAGAACTTCAAGTTTGTCTACAAACTTTTTTATCTAATTGTAAAGTGTTACCGAATTATGGTAAACATCATAGTCTACATACTGCCTGATTCAAGCAGATCGTGGCTGTTAATGCATGAACATACAAATTCAGCATTAACAATCACCATGTTTATTCTAATTTGAAGGGCTTTGATAACATATCTGTGGAAATAAAAGACATTACGAATAAAAAAAGATTGAAAATAGTGCACGTTTGTGCGGGTAATCCGGGTATAGTAAATATTTTCAATTTACAACAAAACTTGTTAATTATTCAACAAGAGAAATAGACAAGAGTTATTCATCATTGTGCAACACAATTCCGATACCACATGACAACTTACTTACAGTGCTTGACTTTTTCGTGAAAAAGGAGTGAAGAGTTTTTTTTTGCCGTTTTGAACTCTATGAAACTGATGGATTCGGCGCGGCTGCGAGCATGGGCGTGTCGCACGAGTGACTGATTACCATGGAAGCGTGAAAGTCACGTATGTAGACTATCCTTTCTTTGGATTTTAAATCTCGATGTAGGGCAGGCTATACACCTCACCCGCGAAAACCTCAGCTTGTCATAGACACATTTGCCCTATGAAAAAGTGCGGGGGACGAATTTACATTTTATAAAAAGTAGGGGGGACACGTCCCCCCCGTCCCCCGCGTAATCTACGCCCATGCAACATAGGTTGAATTGTCAAAATAAATTCAAGGGGGTTGGTGTGGTGGATGGGGGCTAACCTTGATTACTACAGGTTAAGGCTAATGATAACAATAATTACATTTCTACTTAGGATTAAAGAGTAGAATAAAAATCTACATAGGCATTATCAATGAAATAATTTTTGACTGTTGTATTGTATGCAGGGTTCTAAATTAACACCCGCCAACCCGCCAAATGCAGGTTAAAATTCATTTTGGCGGCTGTTAATAAAAACTTACTAGCCAGTTTGGCCGGTGATGCATAAGGTTCTGTTCTCGGTCATTTATCCCCCTGGCAGTACTTCCTACATTTCCCATAAACACTGTGCCGTAATGCTACGTGATGAAGTTTCATACGCCCATTGGCTGCGCGCAGTTTGCAGTGAAACCAGCGCGAGAAAGGATCATGGAAACAAACGCGTCCGTCCACCAGAAAACACAAGGAAGATGAAGAACGAGCCAGAGCAGGGAGCAGACTGAAAGAGGAGGAAGCTAGTAAAGTAGCTAAAGTAAAAAGTTAAGATTAAACTAAATGCGGCGGTGGTTGGGACAGACTTCTGGGTTTAAATTTAAATGTCGTTTAACGAGAGATAGCCTACGTTATTTTTTTTAAGTTTAAGGTTTTTGTCATTATTTCTTACAAGCTTATACATTAGGCAATAGCCTATACACAACAAGCTTACATATCTTAAGGTTTTCTTTTAGTTGAAAACATTAAACAATATGTGTAAACAAAATATATAAACAACAAAAGCATTTAAGCTCAGGCAGCACAAACGAAAAAATAAAATAAAAAAAAAGAAGCAGACTGCGCAGTTATCGTACAGAACGTAGTCAGCATACTCGAGTCAGCATATGATTATCGTGTTTATTGTTTCACGTTCATGTTGAGAAAAACAATAATATCCACATGCTCGAGTGAGAAAACGCGCTGCGCTGACACACAGGCGTTGCAGAGACGCGCGCGTGTGTGTGTGTGTGTGCAAAGTGAAGTAACAGCACTTTGCGTTTTCTGTTCTTAAACCTGTCTCCCTCAACGAAACTTAAAGGAAGCATATGTCAAAATCATTTTGCTACCAGAAGATATCGGGGTACAGCTGCTGACCTGCAGTCGTTAATGCAGTGATGGACAGCTGCTTCCTCAGTCGACTGCTGTTTCTTTGGATTTCATGTGATTTCTCATTGTGGTGGTGATATTATGATAATAATTAATAATTGATTAAACGTAATTCTATTTTGTAATAGGCTATCATTTTCATCTAAGTAATTCCAAACTTCGCGAGGCAGACAACGACATTATGTGATCAAAAACACAATCCACTTGTTAAATGCTCCACCCAGTGCATTTAATTATAACTGCGAAAATAAATTGAAGAAAAAAAGTATTAGTATTAGTATTTTATTTTTTTAATAATAATTACAGAGCGAAAATTCGAATATTCGTGCACATCCCTAATAGAGATAGATCCCAAACTTGAAATGAAATGTTTGCACTTTCTGTCTTGTATTGTACTTTATATGTGTTTTTCATGCCAACAATGTTAATAAAATTATCAAATGCATTCAGTGGCACTCATAATTTCTCTTATTTTCACCGGAAAAAATTTGGCTAGTGGAAATTCTAAATGGCTGGTAACTTTAGAAAGTTACCAGCCACATTGGCTGGTGATCAAAAAAGTTAATTTAGAACCCTGATTGTATGACTGTTTATAGTCTAATCATTACCAACAGATGTATTTAAACAAAAATAATTCCCCATAGGATAGTTCACCGAAAAATGAAAATTCTGTGATCAATTACTCACCCTCAAGTTGTTCCAACCCTGTATGAGTTTCTTTCTTCTGTTGAACACAAAATATGATATTTTGAAGAATGTTGGTAACCAGACAGTTGATGGTAACCATTGACTTCCATAGTAGGAAACAAAATACTATGCAAGTCAATGGCTACCGTCAACTGTCTGATTACCAACATTCTTCAAAATATCATCTTTTGTGTTCAACAGAAGAAAGAAACTCATACAGGGTTGGAACAACTTGAGGGTGAGTAATTGATCACAGAATTTTCATTTTGGGTGAACTATCCCTTTAAGCCCCCTAATTTTCTGGGCTCCAAAGCTTTAACAGTAGATTGTAAAGACAAAAAGAATAGGGTGATAATTTCTGAATGAAACTCATCCTCTCACTGGTGTAGTTACATAGCTCATAGCTTGTTTAGAAAATACATACACAATAGACACACATACATTTACCTAACTTATGCATGTGTTTATTATCACCTCAGTGATTGCATTCACTTTCAATAATTAAATGTAACTTTGACAACGACCCTTTGCTAAATCAACACACTTTTGCTATGTTCATTATTCTTTCTAATGTTATGTCAGGGGAATGTCATACCTTCTGTTCTCTTCTTTTTAAGTTCATCAAAAGATGCACTTGAAGCACAAAAATGACGAAAGCTCGCTTGAGAGTGCGCAGCTCGTATATTGAGTTCTGATTGGTTAGTCGCTGTTATTTATAGTTTGTAGAGAATTTTAATATTTAATTTGCATGATAAGGTTACATTATACACAACCCTCTTAATCTAATGGGGATGGTGGTTTTACAGAGGGGATGTTTTTTGTCATTTTTTCTCAACAAGGGGGATGCCATCTCCCCTCAAATCGAGCCCTGGTCTCACACCTTGATATCTGTCAGTGCATGTGCAGCTGAGAGGGGTTTTTGTTTCTATGAGCAAGACATTAAGACAAGACAAATCTTTCTTTTAGTTTTCTAGGTTAAAACCTGTGAATTCTCAATGTTTGCACATTGAATTATCGGTTAGGAATGATTATCTGCTTTGGAAATCTTCTTGGATGTCCACTATTGACTGTGTTTTCTCACACTGACTTTCAGGTTGAGAAGCTCATGAATAAACTTCTGAATGACCAGTACAGGTTGAAAAAGGCCAGCATTGAACGGAGCTCCTCAGAGCAACAAGTGGAACGCATCCTCTACCACGGCACCAGTGAAACCAGTGTGAAGGAGATATGCATTCATGGCTTCAACAGGAGCTTCTGTGGAAAAAATGGTATTATGCTGTTAAGTATGCTAGAGTATGCAAAAGTAAAGTATGCATGCATTACTGTTAGCATTGCTCATACATTGGGATTTAACCAGGAAGATCCTAATCATCCAAATTCATAGAAAGTTGTTACACTAAATACTAAAAATAAAGCTTCTAAAAGGTTGTTTTTTTTTTGTAGCGATTCCATAGAAGAACCATTTTTGATTCCCCAAAGAACCTTTAAGTGAACAGTTCTTAAAATAACTATTTTTACTAAGTGTGAAGATTTTTTTTTTGTATGATTCTTTCTTTATTAAACATTATAGAATCTAAAAATAAGAAATAAGTCAATCTAAATAAACTAAAAACTTTATTAAAAAAAAACATGTAGACATGAACTGTAATCATACTAAAATATCAATGATATGATTTTGAAAATAACAAATGAATGTTCTCTTTTCCCTCACAGCGACTGTGTATGGTCAGGGTGTCTACTTTGCGGTAAACGCTGTGCTCTCTGTGTCAGACACCTACTCCCCACCCAATGCAGACGGGCACAAGTTTATTTTTGTGGCCAAAGTGCTCACCGGAGACTTCACTGTGGGAAAACACGAGATAAAAACAGCTCCGCTTAAGGAGAATTCTGCCGTACCGGTCAGATACCACAGCGTGACCGATCAGATCGACTCCCCGACTTTATTTGTCATCTTTAATGACACACAAGCTTATCCACAATACCTGATCACATGCAAGAAGATCTACGGTTAATAAAATGCTTATGTTGGCATGCATTTATGATATCCCTGGCAATCATGTCTAGTCATCATTGAACTGGGGTTTAAGATCTGCTCTTACTTTACTGTTGATGGACTGTTGTACTTTAAGTACGATTTTGTCTGAACAACAGTTGAGTGTTGTCACTCTGTTTTCTTTATTTTTGTGAATAATTGGATTCTTATGTATTGAAAGTGACAGAACATTTTTATATTTTGCTGTTTAATCATTGCTGGATTTAAACAAATGTATTAAATCATATAAGAAATGTTTTGCTTTAAGCCTGCCAGATTTACATCACTCACATTAATATTTTTCGAATGTCCAAAATAAAGTAAATAAATGCTGGAACAAAGTAAATATCTATCTGTCTGTCTGTCTTGTCTATCAACTGGCATTTTATAACACATTTAAATATTTGCACAATATTTGCTTTTAATGACACTAATTAAACAATTAAAATATGAGGAGTATGCTATAGTGGGAAGAAGAATACACTAAATCACAACATTATTTGTGAAGAAAGGCAAACTCCAGCATATAATTCAATAGGGCTTTTATTGTTTTATGCAACAACAAAAAAGGCATTAAAAACAAAACGCTCACAGGAAATAAGCATACATTGACTTCAATATTAATGTTTTGATGGTTCTCCCTTGTTTTTGATTATATAGCAGCCATTCTCCATGGGCATTGACTCACTAAACGTTGCGCATATGTCATGCTTAACTTCTTTCCAATACTTCTTAAGTTCTTCACAAACTGGAAGACCTGCATGACATATCACAATTCAGGTTTATATAATTTCCCAAAGGTTTTTAATGGTTTTGAGGTCAGAGGACTGAGGAGGCACCTTGAAGTCTTCAAAATGTTGAGCATGAACACTTTCATTGTGGGCAACTTTGTTGCATGCGCGGTGTGTTTGGCATTGTTATTAGGTTGGAAACACACATTTGATCTCCAACTCCAAGCAGCTCCTCCATACCATTGTATTCAGCAGGACTCCGAAGTATTGGTCCATTTTCAAAGTGCCAGCAACTTTGTAGATCCTTCCTTCCAACACCTTCTGCAGACATGCGTCCCCAATACCATTGTTTTCCTGCCGTGTTTAATGGCACCACGCATGCATTTGGTATTAAAACACTCCAGTTGTCTCCTATGAACCTGACAGGCTGACACCATCCAATGTTGGGTTGTTAAATATTGACTTGTCGGACTGCAGAACATGGCTCCAATCTTCCATGTTCTATGGCAAATGCAAGGTGTTTTTTGCAGTAAATATTACTAATAATTATTATTATTTTTTTTTATTTTTTTTTACTGCTGCACAACATCTCATTCCAACCTCTTACAGTTCAATATGAAAATAGAAGTTGGAGAGGTCTCATCCAGGTCTTTAGAAGCTGTTTTCAGGTTGTCCCACATTCAGGTGATTTTTCCTCTCCTGTCAAGCTGCCGTACGAGTCCGTTGAACAGCGGAGATGGTGGAACGATGTGTTGTAACAACACATAACGTGTATTCGTGTATTATTTATTTTTTTACATACCGGCTATGTATAAAGTGTATAAAGCTGCTGCTAGCAAATGTAAACATTACCTGACCTGTTGAGATGTTAATGATGATCTGCTGCTACGTAAGTTACATGTTTCCATCCGCTTCCCCGTGAGTCACGAGGTGCTATCTTGTAGTGTGTGATCGCTACAATTATCAAATCTTGTAGTGTGTGCATGTTTGAGATTTGAGAGAATTTTTTTTTTGAAGATTCTCATGATCAGTCGTAAGTTAGCCTATCAAATTACGTTCATTATGGGCCTTACAGTCGTTGCATGATGCAACATGATTTCACAATCGGTAATGATTTAAAACTCCTGTAGTCTGAGCCCGGCTTAACTAAAGTGTGAGAATTGTTTCCTTCCCAATTTAGAGTGTTACTTTTGAACTTAACAAGATCAATATACCCAGAACACCCCAGCAATAACACACTAAAAACCACAAAGAATACCCTAGCAACTGCATAGTAACGCACTAATCACTCAGAACATCGTGGCAACGCATAGCAACACTGTATTCCTGCTAAAGGTAAAGCACCTCAGAATGACCAATCCTGTAAACCCTGCAATTTCACATTCTAGACTACAAACCCTGCTAGCACTAAGTTTTGTAACCGCAATAAGCTTTAACTCAGAATCTCTCAATGCTCACACACCTGTGAGGATTGCGGCCCATATTGATGTATCCTGACACAACAAGTTATGCAAAGACAAAAACCTCTAAAATCAATGACAGACAGGCGATTAAATGTTTGAACTTAGGAGAAACAATTTATCAGAGGTGATTGACTGACTCAATGCTTGTGTTACTCACATCAATAAGTCAATAGAGCCATCAGCTATCCGTATAATGGAATACTAGTGTACTGCAAACTGCCAGTATTGTGTTCTGTCTTTTAAAAAAAAAAAAAAAGTGTACAATAACATTTGAAATAGTAGTGCATTTCTGCATTCATTGCATTGTTTAAAAATCGAATTACCAGAAAGGGCTATTAGGCTATCCATTCATAAATACAGTCATTTGCTAGTTAAATAAATTAGTATGTTAGGCTATTTTGAAGGAATCGGTTGAAAGAAGGATGCCACCTCCTTTGCTTTTCATCCTTGTAGTTTTAGTCTCATTAACACAACTTTTTTTTTAGACAAATTAAATGTATTTACTTTCACATATGGATTTATATGATCACATGAAGTGTGCAGTCTTTGGCTCTGAATGAGATGTATTGTTGCCAATAGCAGACAAGAAACATTAAACATTTCTCCCCATCATAGAAATAATGATCTGTGAACTCCACTGTTATGAACTGCATTGAATGATTCACTTTCTGCTGCTGTTCTAGCTAAACAGTAAATTGATTCACTTCATATTACACTTTTAATTGCCAGGAAGAGTCATGGATCTTTCAACTTTTAGTTTGCACACTTTTTTATTTACACATGCAGGTTAAAGGTGAAGAGGGACGATGATCTGCATTAGGAGTTGTAGTTGCGGTTGTGCTTGTTGATCCACAAGTGCTTCATTTTCGGATCGTTCATGTAGCGTTCAAGCAGCAACTCTTTTTCTCTTCGCTCCCTCTCCTTGATTATTTTTTTCTCCTTCCTTTTCTTGACCTTCTCCTCCACCCAGGTGAACAGAACAAATGGCACTTTTCTTTTGTCAGTAGAGGATTCACAGACGAGCTTCATCGTGAGCTCATCGATCTGAGAGGCATCATCTGAATGGCCTTGTATGGCCTTGGAGTCTCCCATTTCACTGGGGTCACCTTCCTCTTCCTTAAATTCCTGGACCTCCTCCACTTCGTCCCCCCATTCTTCCTCCTGCACCTCGCTGTCCTTCTCCAACCAAGCAAACATCTTTCTCGGTTTCATTTTAGCCTCCAGCGTTTGGGGGCGTTCAGACTTGAGTAAGTCAATGGTCCGGATGGTCCTCCCTGTGTACTCCACATACTCGCTCTCCTCATCCTCTATGTCCACTAGGCTGAGTTGTGGAGGTGACTCAAACAGGGAAGAAGTGAACGGCTGAGGCTTCCGGCTGGAAGGACGTCGCAGAGCAACGACTTCATCATGTGTAGGAGTGGGGGCCTTGACCTCCACCCCTTCGCTCGCCCACGCTTCCTCCTGCACCTCGCTGTCCTTCTCCAACCAAGCAACCATCTTTCTCGGTTTCATTTCAGCCTCCGGCGTTTGGGGGCGTTCAGACTTGAGTAAAGTACTGGCCCGAATGGTCCTCCCTGTGTACTCCACATACTCGTTCTCCTCATCCTCTATGTCCACCAGCATGAGTTCTGGAGGTGGCTCAAACGGGGAAGTTAACGGCTCAGGCTTCCGGCTTGGAGGACGTCTCAGAGCAACGACTTCATCGTGTGCTTCAAGTCTTTTGGGATGCTGGTTCCGTTCCTTCCGTTTTCTCTTCTTCCTTTTCTTTTTTCCAGCTTCCCTAAGCTCACTTCCTTGGGATGAAGAGTGTCGGAGGGAAACAACTTCATGGGGACATGGAGAAACCGCCAACAATTTTGGAGGATCCACTTGAAGTGGAGAACATGGCAGGGATAACACTTCCTCAGGTGCTGGAGCTGGTTTCTGAGGATGCATGGGAGGTTTTGTCACTGGCGGCAGGGGTTTAAAGCGAGCGGCTGGTAGAGCGAGGTGTCCGGAGACACCTGTAACCGTTGGTGGTTCTCCCTCTATTGGCTTTAGGAAGGAACATCTGACTGTAGTAGGCAGAGGTTTGACCTCCACAAGAAGTGGTATTGGCTCTGTAATCTTCCGTTCCTTCCGTTTTCTCTTCTTCCTTTTCTTTTTTCCAGCTTCCCTAAGCTCACTTCCTCCCTCCATTAACTTTTCCAGACTGTGAACTACCTTGCGGCGTCTCCTCCTGCACTTCCTGTCATTGGCAGTGAAGTCGAAGGCCTCACACTCCTCTGGAAGTTTCTCTGCTGCCGCTATTTCTTGCGCTGCACACTGCTGTGCTCTCTGAGGTGTCCCCTCTCTGCGCAAGAAGTGAGCAAAACACTCAAACAGTTGTCTAAGTAAACTGCTAAACTGCGCCATTATGCTGCAATTGAATTCAATATTTGTCGTCGATATCTGCAGAAAGTCTTGCGATCTATTCACTCCTAACACACCAACAGCACACCAGAGTCAGAGCTGTAGTTTATAGTTGCCAGAACGGAATCTCCACTATGATGTCACGACCCCACTGAGTGAGAACTCTGAACAATCTAAGCAGCTCCAGAAGCAGCAAACACACACTTTCACACTAGTGGCACCAAATGAAATACTGTATGTTTCCAAACAAGTTTCCCAAACACTCCTCCCCCTCCCTGAATATTAAACTGAGATAGTAGAAATAAATTGAGTTCCCTGAATTTAGTTTCATATTTAAAAAGTAGCCTATACTTTATTTTTTCAATCAATTACAATCTCTAAATAAAATTTGTTAAAACATAATTTATGCACAGTGTTGGGTAAGTTTCTCTAAAAAAAGTAATTAATTACTACCTACTAATTACATCTTCAACAGTGTAATTTCAACTTCAATAGTTTGATTACTCTCTCTCAAAAGTATTCCATTACTTAATTATTTTTCTAAATCCCATATTAACCGTGAGCAGTTGAACAATGCAAAAATAGACATGAAACTGCTCTTTTAATTCTTTCAAATAAATGATATAAAATTGCATAAATTATTCTTGAACTTACCAAAGTATTTAAAGGGAGAAGGTTACATTACATATTTTAACGTACAATTTTTATGTTAAATCTACTATTGTTTTACATAGAATTTGAAATGTCTATACAGGAAATACATCGGAAG